AGCCCTGCCGGGCACTCAGGGTCCCCTCAGACGCGGGGACTCGGTGTGGGTCCTGGTCGCACCGGAGGACAGGACACCAGGGCCAGGGGGCGCCGTGGGGCGGGAGCATGGCTGCAAGGGCGGCAGTGCCGTGGCGGCGGGAGGGCCGTGGCCTGTGGGAAGGGTGGCGGGCTCAGCCCCGCCTGCCGGGCAGGCTCAGGGCGCGTGGGCTGCCCCGCGCAGGGCGAGGCGCCAGCTCTCCTTCCGGGAGCGGCAGGCGTTGCGGCTGTGAGCTGGTGCTGCTGCCTGCCTTAGCAGTATCCCCGCCCCGCTGGTGACCGTAGAGCAGGGTGTGGTCAAGGGGCTGGGGAGGGAGGTTTGCTGCCCCATCCCTTGTGGAGGGGACTCTGTCTCAGTCCGCGGGCACCCTACCCAGCTCAGCGCCGTGTGGTCCGTGCCGCCTGCTCCCGAGGAGGATGCTGCGCTGGGGCCTCGGTCTCTGGTCTGAGATAAGCACCAGCCCCCATAGCAGGGGCCCGAGGAGAGGGGCTCTGGTCCCCCCAGGCCTGCAGGACGCTGCAGACGCAGAGTGGCGCCCTGGTGTGGTTTTCACGCCCGGCCTTTCTCTTCCCTTCCAGCCACGACGTTCTTCCACCACGTCAACCTCCAGTACAGCACCATCTCAGAGTTCTGCACGGGGGAGGCGTGCCAGACGATGGCCGTGTGCAACACGTGAGTCACTGCCTGGTGCGGCCCTGCCCCGGGGGCTTGGGCAGGCTGTGGCCGTGGCCCCAGCCGCTGCACTCCGTCTTCTCAGACCCCACGCTTGCGGCCTCCGCTCGAGGTCTCCCAGTGGCTCAGTGCCTTCCTCAGCAGGGTCCTCGCCAGGCTGCACCTCCTGTCCTCACGGGCCCAGGGCCTGGCAGGGCGACGGGAAGCAGAGCCCTGCAGAGGTTGGGACCCCGGTGGCGTGGGTCCCTCCGGGGCACAGGTGCTGGGAGCCAGCCAGGGGCTGACAGGACGCGTTCCTGGGGGCAAGGACATTTCCCCAGGACGTGCCCGCTGGGCTTCCTGAGATAGCAGGGTGTGTGTTTCTCTGCTGTGGCTCCCGGCCCTACCGGGTGATGGCTCTAACTCAGAGCTCCTGCTCTGTGTGGAGGCCGGCCCTACCGCACCCCACCCGCTGCTGGTCCGTGGGGCTGGGACGCCTTGGCGCCTTCCCGTGAGGTGACGCCCTGCAGGCCTGGTGCAGGCTGTTCTCTTCTGGAAGCACGTGCCATTCGTTTCCTCAGTAAGCAGGCATCCCTGAGGGGCTCCAGGGTACCCCACTGCCTCTGTGGCAGCTCTTGGAGGCCCCGTGGATAGGAGAGCCACCACATGGCCCTGGGCTTGCCACCGGCCCAAGTAGCAGAAGCCATAGAAGAGGCCACAGGCAAGAGGCCAGGTCTGCAGGGGCTCATCCCGGGTGGGGTGTGGCTCGGGGGCACAGAAGCTCCTTTCTGATGTCTCCTCTGCAGGCCAGGGGCTGATAGGAGCACATGTGAGCAGCGGGCCTCCACTAGTGGACACGTCAGTGCTGCCGTCCTGAGCTCACCCTGCCTGTGGGCTGCAGGCAGACCCGGCTCAGGCCCAGACATGTGGGCCCTCCTCTTGCTGAGAGCCCACCCAAAGCCTCAGCACAGGCAGAGGGTAGAGTTCCCCCGCCCTTCAGAGGGCACAAGTGCAGAAGACAGCTGCTCTTCACTCCTTACCCACCCAGTGAGACCCATTGATGGTATGCTCAGGTGTCACGTGTGTCCCCAGATAGCCACAGCCAGGCATGGCCCAGGGAGGATGGGGCAGTGTTGGGTGGGCAGTGCTGGGAGCAGGCTTGAGGTGAGCTTGGGGCAGGAGAACAGCATGGGACAGAGTGGCCTCTGTAGAGCAGACATGGCCACAGCAGCTGGAAGTGGGCAAGGGCAGTGCTGCAGAGCCATGTGTGTGGCATATGCTTGGAGGACGTTTGCCAGCTGTGTGCCTGACCAGGCGGCATCACAGGTGGCCTGTGGGCTGGCGAGTGGGGAAGCCAGGGCCCCTCCATGGTGCCACATGCCCTTCCAGTATCAATGTGTTTGAGAAGAGGCTCCTTGAAAGAGCATAGGATTTGGTGTCAGGCAGACGTGTGTCTAGATGCTGGCTCTGCCATGTAAAACTTGGAAATCTGGGGATTTTTGAGGATTCTACTGTTCATTCTTCTCATCTGTAACCTACTTTGTAGGGTTTTTGTAGATTTATATAAATTGATATGCATATAAATGCCTTCCTAGGAATCATTTGAGATCAAGGAATGGAAACACATGAATTAGTTTAATAGGAACAGGGAGGTCTGTCAGGGTCCACAGAGCCACTTGCTCTCCTGGGACCATCCAGTCCACCCGGCGCCTGGCATGGGGCTGAGGCCCAGGCCAGAGGCCCTTCTCCACCCTGCTGGTGCCTGAAGGACAGAAACCAAAGGGTAATGTTGGAGTCCCAAAAGAAGAGGAGAAAGGGCCATGCCGAAAACATATTTGAAGAAATATGGCTGAAAACTTACCAAATTTGGTCAAGACACAAACCTGCAGATTCAGGAAGCTTAATGAACTCCAAGCAGGATAAACCCGATGAATCCACCGCAAACACATAATCAAACTGCTGAAGAGAAAACACACCTTAAGAGCATCAGAGCCAGCAGCACTGCACCTGTGGGGGTGTGGTGCCCGTGGCTGTGGCTCTCCTTCCCCACCCCGGGGGCCAGGAGGAGGCTCCATGACATCGTTCAGGTGCTGAAAGGAGAGAGCGGTTCCCCCGGGAGTTCCACGTAATGCTCCTCAAGAATGAAGGTAAAATAGAGACACTTCTCAGAGGAAGGGAGACTAAGAGGGTTAACTCGCAGCCAGCAGAGCTGCGCAGGGAGCTCTTCACACAGGAAGGAAGTGGTGCTAGAAGGGAATGCAGGACAGCAGGCTTCGGGGAGAGCAAGAGACGGGAGATGTGATGGGCTGCTCCACACTCCTTCAGCTCTTTAAAGCGTGTCTGGTGGGTGAGCAAAACCCATCACCCTGTCTGATGGGCCTTCAGCGTGTGTGGATGGAACACTGAGACAGTAGTAGTGTCCTGGGGCAGGCAGAGAGCCCTGTGTGCTGGTCGGCTCTGTGATTCCACTTGTGGAGGTGATTCTTGGCTCCAGGTACAGCATGGAAAGGTCATATGCGTTTTATAATCCTTTGAGCGATCTCTTAAAAAAGTTACATAAGTGACATAGTCAAAATCATAATAGATAAATTAAAAGGAAATACTGAAAATAACACAAAAGAAGGCAGGAAATATAAGGAGCGAAAAACAAAGGGAACAAATAGTAAATGATGGTAAACTTAAATTCAGACGGATCAGTAATCACGGTGAATGTCAGTGGTGTGAGCATGCCGGTGACAAGACAGATCATAAGAATGGGTTTCAGTGTATACAAGAAATGCGCTTTTTTTTTTTTTTTTTGCCATGCCACGTGGCATGTGGGATCTTAGTTCCCCGACCAGGGGTTCGAACCTGCACCCTCTGCAGTGGAAGCGTGGAGTCTTAACCACTGGACCGCCAGGGAGGTCCCAAGAAGTTCACTTTAAATGCAATGACATTGGTAGGTTAAAAGTGAAAGAATGGGAAAGTATATACCAACAAAGATGTACCAAATCAGAAGAAGACCAAAGTGGCTGTGTTAGTACCAAAGTAAACTTCAGAGCAAAAGATGACTAGGGATAAAGAAGATTGCGTCATTTAGAAACGAGTCAGTTCATCAAGAAGTGCTGACCTTGGATGTGTATGTACCAAATAGCAGAGCTTTTACACAGAGCAAATGGAGAGAACCAAAGGCAGAAACAGACAAAATCACATTGTGGTTGGAGATTTCAACATTCCTTTCTTGGTAGTAGACGGAACTAGTAGGCAGAAAGTCAGCAAGAATCTGGAACTAAATAACACCATCAGCCAACTGGACTGAATTGACATTTACACAACACTCCACCCTCGGCAGTAAAATGCACATCCCTTCCAAGTGCACTGGGATTATTCATCAAAATAGTGTAGATCATATCCTGGCTCACAAAACAGACCTTAGCAAACTTTAAAGAATCAGAGTGATACAGAGCAAGTTTTCTGACCATAATTACATTAGAAATCAATAACAGGAAAAATCTCCAAACATTTAGAAATTAACATACTTTTAAATAATCCATGGGTCAGAGAGGAAGTCTCAAGGGAAATTAGAAAATGTTTTAAACTGAACACAAATGAGAATGCCACATATCTGAACTTGTGGGGTGCAGCTAAAGCAAGGGTTAGAGGAAAGTTTATAGGATTAACTTGTTTTAGAAGAAGACCTCAATTCAATCTAAGCTTCCGTATTAAGAACCTAGAAAAAAAGACGAGCAAAAAAAACAACCCTAAATAGAGCAGAAGGAAAGAAGTGGTAAAATAAGAACAGAAATCACTGACATTGATTTCTGAAAACAGTAGGGAAAAATTAATGAAACCAGAAGCTGACTCCTTGAAAGGATTGGTAAAATCGAGAAACCTTTAGTAAAACTAACAAAGGTAAAGAGAGAAAAGGTACAGATTATCAGTGTAAGGAATGAGAGGGGAAATCATGATAAACCCAGGAGATAATAAAAGGATAATAAAGAAACACCACAAAAATCTCTGCTTGCATTAAATTTGACAGTTTGGATTAAATGGACCAATTCCTTGGAAAGCACAAAATATCACAGTTTACCCAAGATGGGTAATGCAGTAAAGGCGAGAAAAAGAAGCAACAGTCTTTCAAATTGGAGAAGAAGAGACTTGAGCCGTATTCGCCTGCAACACGGCCGCCTGTGTAGGAAGGAAAAGACCAAGGATTCTGGCAGAAAGTCGAATGCACACATTTAGCAAGGTCAGCACACAAAAATCAGTCATAGTTCGTATACTGGCAGCGCACAGTTGGAACACGAAATTGATAAAATTATATCATTTACAGTAGCTGCAAACACAATGAAGTACTTAGGTACAGACTTAAGGAACATGCACAGGATCTTTATGCTGGAAACTACAAAATGCTGATGAATGGAATCAAAGACTGGCGTAAATGGAGAGACATTACTGTGTTCATGGATGGGAAGACCCAACACACCAGAAGTGTAAATTCATTTATTGCAGTTTCAGTTTAGATCCTAGCAGAGTTTTTATTGATATAAACAAGCTGATTCTAAAATTTATATGGAATAGCAAAGTCACCGGAATAGCTACAGTGATTCTGAAAAAAGCACAGTCAAGTTGGAAGAGTCCCACAGCCTGTTTTGAAGATTTACTATAAAACTGTGGTAATCAGGACAGCATGGTGGTGGTGAAGGAAGAGACACAGAGATCAGTGCAACAGAATAGAGTCCAGAAATGGACCCCCACAAACATGGCCCCTTGATGTTTGACAGAGATACAAAAGGAATTCAATGGAGAAAGGACAGACATTTCAACCAGAGCTGTTGGAAAAACCAGTCATCTCCGTGTCCTCTTCTGCCAGAATTAACTTGAAGTGAATTCTAAATGTAAATATAAAACATGAAACTTTTAGAAGAAAACACGGGAGGAAACCTTCACGATAGTGTTAGGTGAAGAGTTCTTGGTCGTGACACGGGCCACAGGCCACAGGCCACAGGTGAGAGAGAGTCCCTAAGCTGGGCTTCATCGAGCCACAGGCCACAGGCCAGAGAGAGTCCCTAAGCTGGGCTTCATCGAGCCACAGGCCACAGGCCAGAGAGAGTCCGTAAGCTGGGCTTCATCGAGCCACAGGCCACAGGCCAGAGAGAGTCCATAAGCTGGGCTTCATCCAAATTGAGAGCCTTTGCTCTGAGAAAGACACTGTTAGGAGAAAGGGAAGACAGACTGCAGAATAATCCCGTATCCGAGAAAGGACTAGTGCGCAGAATGGATAAAGAGCCCTCACAGCTCATCAGTAAGAAAATCCGGTCACGAGTGGACAAAGGACTTGGACAGATCATGCAAGAGGACCCAAGCAGGACAGATGGGCACCTGCGAGGCTCTGCCTCATGAGCAGGTGGAGAAATACGAATTCAGACCACGCTGCAGGAGCGCCTGATAAAATGCGCCGGGTGCCGGCGAGGATGGAGGGGGTCGCGGCAGGATAGCCGCTCCGGACACATGTTGACGGTTTCTCAGGAAACAAGGCATTCACCTAGCGTGGGCCCGGCTGCCCCACTCCTGGGCGTCCACCCTGGAGGAGCGAGAACTAGTGCTCACACAGACACCTGCCCGCGAGGGTTTCAGCAGCCTGACCCGGAATTGCCCCAAACAGGAGGCCGCACACGTGTCCCTCGGCAGGTGAATGTCTGGACAGACTGGCGCGCCCACGAGGTGTCCATCTCAGTGGCATGGATCGCAGAGCCCGGCCCAGGACATGGCGTGGCGTTCCTGAGGACACGTCACTAGCGTGCTGGGGACTGACCAGCAGGCCGGGGGCCAGGCTGGGAGCTGTGCCCCGTTGTGGGTCCTCTATTTGGGTTAAAATGCATAAGACTGCACGCCAAAACCAGTCTGCTTTACTGTGTGACAGTTCAAAAATAAAATGAAAACGAAAAAGAGGAACGTTGAAGGCAGAGTGTTCCAGCTGTCACGCAGGCGGGGCGACCACAGTGCCCCTAAGGGGCTGGTCTCTCCGGGCCTGGCATCATGAAAACGTTTCCCATTTTCTAGCTCCGGTGGTTTTTTCTGACTGTGGCACCCGGGGCCAGGTGCATCCTGCACCAGGCAGGGGTGGGGAATCGCTGGGGCAGGCGTCTGACCTCTGGCTGGGGCCCCTCCCGAGCCGGTCTGGGGACCCCAGGGGCTGTTGTGAGGAGAGGGACGATTCATTTGTCTGTTCACTGAGCGTGTCCTCAGATGGTGCCGACGTCCGGGCAGCGGAGGGACGGTCAGCAGGGCCACCCTGTGGTGGGGAGGGCTCTGGATCCCTGCTGGGGGCCGGCAGGGAGCTTGGCAAGCTTCCTGGGGCTTTGTCTGACCAGCTCGGGAGCCTTGTGGGGCAGCCTGGGAGCAGGCGTGGCAGGGAGGGCTCTGCTGAGGTGGCACTGCAGGTGTAGTCTGCCTGCTAGTGGGTGGGGTGGGGCTGGGTGGGAGGAGCAGGGGTGGAAGTGGGCGGGGCCTGATACCCGGTGGCAGTCAGGGCTGTGTCCCCTTGTCCACTGAAGGTTGGCCTTTTTCCTGGTGGCCTGCCCATTTGTGTGTGGGTTGTTTTCCCTGTCTTGCAGCCTGACCCCCACCCAGCCCTGCCAGGGGCACAAATAAGCTAACCGGTCCTGGGGCCGGGGAAGAGCCTTGGTTCCTGCTAGAGGCAGTGGGGGGCAGGGGCGCGGCGGGCAGCAGGGCTGCCTTGAGGTCACGTGGGCAGGCCGTGCCTTTTTATTTTGGCTGGGGTCAGGCTGGCCACGAGAGATGGGGACCCTGCTGTCCTGACGACAGGCCTGGCAAGGTGGTGGAGGTGGGTGAGCCCACGTGGCTGTCACCCAGGGGTGCTTAGTGAGCTCAGGAAATCGGGGCAGGGTGCTCAGAGCCAGCCTGGAGTGCTGGCCTGGGATGAGGTGGGATGGTGAGGTGTTAGGGGAACCTGGTCTAAGCCAGTTCTGAAGCCAAGTAAAGTCATCTAAATGGGGGCGGGGATGCCGGGCGGAGGTCTCCATGAAGCCCGTCTGGCTGGGGCAGGGGTGTGGCAGGGTTGGCGGCTAGGCCATGGAAGGGGGTGCTCTGGTCACTCGCTCACTGACAGATGCAGCCTGTGTCCCCCCAGCCCCCCTGTGGGCTCTGGTGCAGCCCTTGGCGAGCCGGCCTTAAGGTACAGGGCCTGCTGTTGGGAAGACTGGAGCCCTTGGTGGGAGGGATGCTGGTGGCTGCAGCGGGAGCCCACCAGGGGTTTGTGTTTGTTCTGCTGGAGGATAGGTCATGTTTACATGAGCTAGGAGATGCGCTTGGTTTCACGGCTGGGCTTACGCAGTGAGAAGAAAACCCAGGTGTCCACACCCCGAACACCCTGGCCCACTCCAGCCTGAGGACTGTCTGCCCTACACCCACCCCCGTGTACGGGGCAGGTTGGGGTCTTTGGGGGGCATCCAGGGGTCAGATTCCCATGTACAGAGGCCTCCTCACCACCCGGCCCAGGGCAAAGGTTTGGCCTCTGTTCGTGGCAGCAGGGATGCTACTGAGGCTCGAGGCCCGGCTGACAAGTCACAGCAGGGCCTCCGGGAAGGGATAGGCACAGAGCGTGGATACCTCTAAAATAATGTGTAAAACAACACGCGTTCCTTTGAGGGAATGAAGCCTGAGGCCACGTGTAGAGCAGAAGGTGCGCGTTGGTTTCCTGATGTTGTGCACAGCCAGCTCTCCTGGCCGCGGGCGTCACCGCCCCCCTCTGTCCCCACAGACAGTACTACTGGTATGATGAGCGGGGCAAGAAGGTGAAGTGCACGGCCCCCCAGTACGTCGACTTCGTCATGAGCTCCGTGCAGAAGCTGGTGACCGACGAGGACGTGTTCCCCACAAAATACGGTGCGTGGCCCCTCCCACCCCAGGCTCTGGGACCTGCGGCCTCCACTACCCCGCCTCCCCCCATGGCCGGGCCCTCGAGGTCCCCCTGCCGGGGACGGGGGTGGCTTGCAGCTGTCGAGCAGCACCCACAGCCGTGTGCAGCCCTGAGCGGTCCCGGCGGGGGCCCAGACCCGTCATGAGCTGCCGAGGGCAGCACCTGGCCGACAGGAGGTGCCCGTCTCCCGGGTCCCCCCTCCTCTGCGGCCCAGGCCACAGAGAGCGCGCGCCCTGGGCGCCTGTCCCGCCTTTAGGCCGTGCGCGGCGGGGTCGCGGGCCCCTCGTCACAGAGGCGCCCAGTGCAGCTCGGTGAGCAGCCGCCCTCGCGGCCCCGCCCCGCTGCCGGGTCACTCGGGGGTCGGGGGTCGCGGGGCGGCGCCGTGGGGCCAGGGCGGGCTGACGGCCCCGCCCCGCAGGCCGCGAGTTCCCCGGCTCCTTCGAGGCCCTGGTGAAGAAGATCTGCAAGTACCTGTTCCACGTGCTGGCGCACATCTACTCGGCGCACTTCAAGGAGACCCTGGCGCTCGAGCTGCACGGACACTTGAACACGCTCTACGCGCACTTCATCCTCTTCGCGCGCGAGTTCAACCTGCTCGACCCCAAAGAGACGGCGGTCATGGACGACCTGACGGAGGTGCTGTGCGGCGGCGGCGGGGGCCGCGGGGCCGGGGCGGCGGCGGGCGGGGCGGCAGGCGCACAGAACCACGTGAAGGAGAGGTGAGCCCGGCCGCCCGCGTGCGGAGAGGCGGCGCGCGGAGTGTGGGCGCGGGCGCTCCGCGCCGCCGGCGCCGAGAACTTTGGGACTCCGCTTGTCTGCCCGGCAGACACTTAGGGACCGCCCCCGCCCAAGTCCCCTCCTGTGGGCCCGTCTCTCCCCGTCTTCTGCGCCTGCCCCGCCACCCGGCTCGGCCTCCGGGGAGACGCGCGACAGGCGGGGCTCCTGCCCCCGAGGTGGGCACCGCAGGCTTCGCTTCCACCGTGCTCCGTCTTGGTGCGGGCTGGGGGTGGCCGCCTCCTCCTCTCTCCTGCTTGGTCTGGACCTCGGCTGTTGGTGGCTCAGGGCGGGTGGGGAGGGGGAGGCCGCAGAGCGCCGAGCTGTGGCCCTGTTTCCCTGCGCTGCCCCCGCTGCCCGGGAGGGGCCCCCGGGGCTGGCCGGCTCGGGTCCCAGTGCCCTGGCGGGCGGCTTGTGCAGAGACGCGGCGGCCGGGGGCAGGGGGAGAGCCTGGCTTCCCTGTGCGGGTGTAATAAAAAGACTTCTCTCAGGTCAGCGCCTGCGTGTGTCCTCAGCGTCTCGGTGCCCTCCGGTCTGGCCACACGCCCCTCTCCTCTGCCCTCCCCCGCCCCTCTGCGCCCCTGGGGCAGCGCCCTCCCCTGCAGCCCGGGCGGTGGAGCCCTCTCACTGACCAAGGCTGTGCTGGCCAAGGGCAGGTGCCACCCTTCCTGCAGGGGCCGACCACAGGCTCCCCTGATGAACGTGTCTGCGGG